AGTCTGGTTGGCTTTGAACAAGACTGTAAGGTCGTCAACGAAAATGGATGTGATCGAAATGAGGTGGGGGTAAGCTCATCAACCTCAATTCTCTGTATATCCGGGTTGGCTCGGATCATGGTTGCCAGATCTTCCATGATGAGAACAAAGAGCATCCTGAATCCGGGGCCGAAGCTCATGTTTTGCAGGCACATCTCCAGAAAGTCCCAATCAACGTGGTCATACGCTTTTTCAAAATTAATAAAGAGTATCGCCGCGTCAACTCGTTTCTGTCTCGCATATCTAATGGTCTCATTGCCCAACAGGATGTTATCCTGAATAATCCTGTACGGCATAAATTCAAATTGGTCAGGGTGGATAATGTTGGACAAGTGGGCCAAGACTCTGTTGGCCCAGACCTTGGCCACCATTTTGTAGGGGACCGGGAGGAGTGTAATCGGTCGGTAATCGCAAATCTCCTCCTTTTCCCCTTTCTTATATAGAAGTGTTCTTACCCCTTGTCCAATCATTCCACCAAAGGTCTCTTCCTTATAGACTGCATTCACATACTAACAGAAGTCATATTGAAACCTGTCTAAAAAATGCACCCAAAACTCTTTGGGGAAGGATTCCGGCCCGTTTTTTTTTTCGTCATCCATATCTTGAAGGGTCTGTAGTAACTCGTTTTTGAGGATAGACACTTCCATCTCCTACCTTTGTTTTGTGGTGAGCATTGAAGGGAGAGCATTTATAAGGGCGTGCCGGGCCGCGTGCAAGATATGGGGCGGATGCCGATTGGTTTCAAATGTGAAGAGCCTTTGGTAGTACGATGAGGCGTATTCAGCTATGTTGTAGGTGTTGGTTGTTCGCGGCTGGTTATTGTCAAAAGGGTGTCTAAGGGATGTGACCGTGCTTTACCTTCCTTTTGCTTTAGCTTTTCTAAAGAAGGTCTTGGTCATCATACCATCGGCTGCATCCTTTGAGATTCGTGCTTGAATTCTCTATTTTTGAGCCTGGGCATCCAGGTATTCCTGCAGTTGGCGCCAATTTGGAGCCAAGCCTTTGAAGGGAATTGAAGGTTTCTATATCAAAAGGATAGTTCATGAGCTGATTTTCCCATTCTTCAAATCGAGCCAGGAGGTTATCTAGGGTTTCCTTGTGCTCCCTTGCATGCTTGATAGAATACTTTTTCACTCTCTTCCTCAGTTGAGCGACTCCATTATTGAACCAGTTGACCAGACCGCTATCCACTGGTTTTAAGGCGGTCCAGTATGCCCAGAAATTCTTGACCACATTCTGGAAAGAGGGGTGTGTGGGGAGAGTGGAGTTGAATCTGAAGTACCCCGGGCCTTTAGCAATATGTGAGTGAAAGGATAGCCCTAGTACTATCATCCTATGGTCGAAGGACTTGCAGAGTGATATCGTGCAGATATCCGCCACCGTGAGGAGTCCTACCAGCTCGTTTGATATGAAACCTAGATCTATTCTTGAATTTGCTACACCTCTGGCTCCCCTGGCCCTAACACATGTGTAGGCCCTCTTAGGGGTGTGGTTGTCTGTATGAGTCTGTGAGGGCCAAGTCGGCCATGAGGTATCCCAAGGCAGCAGTGTCCGGACTGATATGTGTATGGTGTTGCTGCTGACTTTCCCTTCAAATCCTCTCAAGCTGCCAGATCGCTTGGAGCTACAGAACTCCGGAAAAGACCAGGGCATTGCCCGATATAGTTTTTTTAATGGTCCATTCTATTCGGGGGAGGCTGCACCTGCTGGACTGGGTTCATGATCCCATGACTCAATTTAGAAGAATATAAGCTGGAAAACGGCTCCAGTCTGTCCCCTTACCAACCTTGAACTGATCAACGCTTCCCTACATTTAGGTCTCGTGGAAGGGGGCATCTGAGAGTCGCCAAACACCTGACTTGACTCTAAGCCTATGCAGCGTTGTGAATGTTTGCTGTAAATAGGGATGGTGAGCTTAGCAAGCTGATACAAGGCCTAACTGAAGAACAAAAGTCCTTTTTTTTTTTCTTTTGGACAAATACTCCAATCTATTCGTGGGGAGCCACACGTGTTGGGAACCGGGCCCAACGCCCCATATGAATTGTACAACCAGTAGAATACCGGGGCCATTACCCGGCTTCGGCTGAGAAATACCGCGAACAGTTTCAGAAACATTTCAGAAAGCTTGAGTATACTGCAAACCTATTAAACCCGCTGCTCATGGAACCACCTCAGAAGGGCTAACAGGAAAACCCACAAGTCCTACGTTTCAGGACACCCCCATCAATCTTCTTTACCCCACTCCGGCAAGACTTACTACAGCAGAGTCACGATCTTCAATGCTGCTATGCCCTATTCCCATCCTACTAGCTAGCCCCCTCACTAGTAGGGCGCATGATATCCATCCATCTACTCCCTTTTCTTCACGCCAACGTCAAACATAGTTGTTCTTCGTCACCTATACTCGTTACCCTACCGCCGTCGCGTATCCTTGCAAACTCTCTCCACTGCCTTCTTCCTCCGGCGACGAGCTGACCTCCCCCACCACATAGTTTGCCAGATGAAGAGCAGAAGAAGAATGAGCTCACAACGAGCGGCAGCGTGCAACAGTCTTCTTCATCTCGCGACGAGCCGACCTCCTCCACCACGTAGTTCGCAAAATGAAGGTTGCCGCTTGCTGTTCCTTACAACCCCCTACTCTTCACCATCTTCCGACGAGACGACCTCCTTCACCACATAGTTCGGAAAATGAAGAACAGTAAACAAACAACCTCACCAGATCCCTTAATGATTAAAAGCAGACTTCAACTTTTCATCTTCCTTCGACGAGCCGACCTCCTCCACCACATAGTTTGAAGAGAGAAGAAATAGAAGCAGTCCACTCAAAGTGACCATTGATTAGGTTTTACGAGCCAGGGACAATCAGAAGCACCATCCTCCCTCTTCCCTCCAACCTCCCCCTACTCTTCGTCATCCCCCGACGAGCCAACCTCCTCCACCACATAGTTCGCGGGATGAGAACAGCAGCCACAACCACACAATGGACCCTTCCTCAACTTTTCCTCCTCTCACGACGAGCCGACCTGCTCCACCCATAGTTCACAAGAGAAGGAAGAGCAGAAGTCAGGTGAACGCTCTCACCCAAATACGCGCAGCACCAACCCCACTACTAACCTCTTACCTCTCTCCGGCAAGACTTATAACAGCTAAGCCACAATCTCAGCTGCGGCTATGCCCTAATCCAATCCCACTAGCTAGCCCTCCTCACCAGCAGGACGCAATATCACCAACCAAAAACCCTCCCCACCAACCCCGGTACCACACATCCTCAAAACACCTGGCCCGCAAACAACAACAAAAGGTGGGTACAATCTCCTAAGCCCAGTTGCAAATTCCAGCGTTTAGAATTGGATGTCAAACTCCTACCATCAATCAAGAATTCCAACATGTACGAAGAAGAAGAAAAGTTAGATTGGGCAGGGTCCGCAGCATGCAATGGCTCATCACATTCCTAGCTTCGCCAGTGAACCAATGGTTGAACAAGCAAAGGAGCAAGGAAGGAAGTAGACTCAAAGAGCTCTGTGCAGTCTGTGAGGCCGGCAGCGCGGGAAATCTTGGCCACTGTCGCTTCGAGTGCCCACGGCTAACTACCTAAATCAGTACTGCATGTCAATTCAGGAGGCAGAGCAAGGATTCAGGCACCTGTTAGAAACAGAATACACAGCAGAATGATAGAGAACCCAGTGGAGGATCAGAAAGAACAAAGAAAAGGCACAGGAGATTACAAGATCAATTCAAGACAGCAATCCTGGGGGATGGCAAATTTGCCAACATTTTTTTGTGAACGGACGGAATAACCGAGTTCCTTTGGTGGCAAGCGGAAGGACTCAGAGTCAGTTGGCAGCGGCATAGTTTAGTAACCAGCTGGCCATCTCCAGCTTTAGTATGGGCACCCCTTAAAGCACCAGTACACCACATATCGGCCTGCGGGTGTCAGCATGAAACCCGCACCACTTCGGAGGCCGCCAATTTTTTTTTTCAACAGCGGGCCCGGCCGCCCGGCGCCTCCGAGTTTTGCTTGTGGCGACAAAAACTTCCTGCAAGGCTGGGGCCGTGTACTAGCGGTTTAACGCAAGATATGATTCCAAACAGGGAAGGGAGGAGCATACAGCAAGGGCGGGAAGGCCAGCAGGAAAACAGGTGGGCCCCTGAGGTGTACATCCCCGAGGTGTGCCCACCTGCTACAGCTCTCGGCGATCATGATGACAACTGACAACCTAACATGGCTGAGAGGAGCTAATAGGTGTTCAAAGATCAGAACAGAACTTTTCGTAGCAGTAGCAGGAAGGCTGAACAGGGGTAGAACAGGGGTAGAACAGGGGTAGAACAGGGGTAGAACAGGGGTTTCCTATCAAACATAATGGAGGGATGTGTAGAGTGCGTCAGCATGTAAGGCACTAGACACGGTTTCGATGCAATTTTAATGCATATCATCCACCTTTTAGGAAAAAGAAAGGCCTAACTGAAGAAAAGAATGAGCAAGCTGATAGAAGCTCAGCAAAAACTGCCCGAACTTTTATGATTGCTCACGTGTTTTTGCCGCCTTTTTGGAAACAGAAACACCTAACTGAAAACATGAGCAAGCTGATACAAGCTCATCAAAAACTGCTTGACCATTTGATTGATTGCTCATATGGTCTCACCGTGAGCGCCCAAGGCGTGCAACAAAGGATTGAGTATTAGTACCTCATGGCATTAATTGATCAGAGCGACCTTGAAGCGATTCGCATACACCTCTTTGAGCATGGCTATGTGTTCAGCTACATTGAAAAATCTCGTGTTCTATTCATTCGTGTACTGCGGAGAAATGCTTATACCGATCTCATCGTCCTAGAAAAAACTGTTTTAAAGGCATGAAGCAGCAAGGAGAGTGGTATCTCCACTTGGTTTGATGATTGCCTCTGTTTGTTGTCATCATTTTTTTAATGTCCAGGTCTAATGTTGTACATGTTCATGTCCAGGTTCATTGGAGACAAAGAGTGCTGCTGGCATCACTGTACGCAAGTACAAGAAGGGATTCTTAGCCGTTGAGGCTGTCGTAGACCCACAAGGAGTTTTGGGAAGACGTGGAGGATCTGTGGCGGCTTCTTCACAAACGACTGTCAGCATATCAGTGGCCACAGCAGGAGGAACCATCTTGCAGACTGATCTTCCTGGCCAGAAGGGACTGAAGCCTGTTTACAATCGCAACCTTAGCCGCAAGAACAAACCAAAAGCGCATCCAAGTCTGGTAAGATATCTTGCGACGAGGCCATGACATCTTCCCATTTGTGAGTACACCTCAGAGTCCAGAGGCCCCTGCTTTCATGCCCAAAAAAATGGAACCAGTTAGCCATAACCCCCCAATCCTGTATGTGGCACAGCGTGCAGGATGATGACCTTTAAACCACCAGTACTTCCTAAAGTGGTGCCCGTTAACAAGCCACGATCTTAGGAAACGTACGGCCACTACAGGAGCGCCCAAATTCATCCGAGTAGAAACGTTTCTACTGCATTTTTTTCCCAATGCCAATAGCTGGGCCAAGTACTGGTGGTTTAAATCCCATGGCCTATGAGGATCTCCTGTCAGTCACCTCGGTATGCTATCCCACCAAATGGCACCAATAGACTGACTCTGTCGGGATAGCCTTGTGAGCTGTTTGATGTATTTGATACCCATACTGCATGGTCTCAATTGGTCCTCAAACAGCTCACAAGGCCCTCATCAGTCTATTGGTGGAAAGTTGTCCTCCTTTTTTTTTCTGGGGGGGGTAGGGGGGGACGACCCGAGGTAATGCTAGGGGTGCTGATAGGAGCAGGCACCACTAGCACTCTCGGGGAGGCTCCATCTTATTGGTGGGGAGCAACACCTGCTGGAAATGAGGTTCAGCGTCCCTGAACATTGTAGTTTTTTGTTTGAACAGACCTTTGACTGAGACGAGCAGCACACTGCAGGGCCTAACTACAGAAGAACTACTGGTTTTCGATATAAAGAAACAGTATTTGTGTGGAATCTTGCTAAGAGTCTTGGCCGTGCGTAACTGGTGTTTGGTATCGGATGCAAATGTGCAGTATCTGTGTGGTATCTTAGCAAGATGGGCAGGATAGAAACAGATGTTGTTGTCTATATCTAATACTCCTCCAGAGAAAACCTGATTGACGGTTGTTACGCCACAGGAGTAACAGTCCCTTTTGACCCAGGTGAGTGTGCTCCACCAACCAATCCCTAATGGGCAATGCACACATGCGCAATCTGCCATTTTAAGGAGGATGGTTCAGCCAGTTTGCCTAAACATCCTTAAAGAACCTAATCTCTTGTGGACTCCAGATGTCGATGTTGAGGTGTCTAGCCCAATGATCCATAACCCAAACGACCAGGCCTTTCATGCCAAAAATTAGTTTGTAACTTTATAGGATAATAATTTAACTGTCACGTCATGGAGCCATAATATCGATGATTGATGACTGCCAGGTTGTGGAGCCATAATATCGACAACTGGTGACAGGTGGTATCAAGTGCTTTAATTGTGGGGGTGAAGGACACTTTGCGATGGAGTGTCCTTCACAACGGACTGCTCAAGGTAAGGGGGGGTCTGCAGCCATCTGCTAATGCTTCTCCTGCTGTGACACCTGATAGGTACTGGACTCCACGGCGGGAGGATCCTGAGGAGCCGTGAATTCTTGCGACAGTTGCTTCAGGAGAAGAAGGAGGACCAGGCACGTAGAAAGGAGATGGAAGAGAAGACAAAGTTCGATGAAATGATTAGGCAGGAGATTGAGCATAACTCGGAGGCACTTGAGGAGAGGGTGATGTCAAAGATAGGGTGTCAGTATCTGATGGCTCGGGATGAGGCCAGGAGGGAGGATTTACTCTCGCCGGTCATCCGGAAACCAGCTTCGGTGATGAGGGATAGGGATTTTCTCGATTGTGAGGGTAAGGGGATTGCAATCGAAGATGAGATTGCGAAGCTGTACCAGATTTTAGAGAAGACAAGTGGACCCGCCGCAGCCACGCTGCGGCCGAGGAGAGGGACGGACAGCGAGGCGGGGCTGTTGTTGTGACACTGCTTGGGCTTTTTTTTTTTTCTTCTTTCTGTGTCGTCATATTAGCTATGCACTCAAAGAATTTGAGAGAAGAATATAGCTTTGAAAAAAAGGGGAAAAAAAAGACATCACCGTCGCAGACTGTTTCCGACTGATCAGGAGGTTGTGTGTGTGTGTGTGTGTGTGTGTGTGTGAGAGAGAGAGAGAGAGACTCTCTCTCTCTCTCTCTCTCTCTCTCTCTCTCTCTCTCTCTCTCTCTCTCTCTCTC